TACTTAGTAATATAATTTCTGATATCTTCCACATATGTAAAAGACTGTGCTTTCTTTTAAATAGGTGCATCGAATTCCATCCTGTGGAAGCATCACTTTGCTTAACCAGTCCCACAGAGGTGTGGTTGAATTGCTGCCTGTATTCTGCTTTTACAATGTTTTCATTCATACATGCATATGCACACACACGCACACACACACACACACACACACACACACATGCACACACACACGGAATAGCAATGCCTGCTTTTAATCTCAGATGCTTGCAATAAATTCAAGGGGGACCTTCTGGGTCAAAATTTAATATGCATTTTTTAATTTTGAAAGATATTGTTCAATTTCCCTCCACAAGGGTGGTCTCACTTTCTACACCAAGGTTACTGTACGAGGATAAATGTTTCCACAGCCTCATGCACACAGTGAGTACTCAGATTCAGATTTTTGCCCATCTGCTTGGTGAGGAGCTGCACTTCAATGCAGTGTCAATTTTCATGCATCTCATAATGAGTGAAATAAATTTTTCATACATTGAAGAGTCTTGCTTCTGCTGAGAGTGCTGTTCACACCCTCTGCACAATTTCCTACTGGAATGTACAGTGGTACTGGTTAGTGCCACACCAACTTCCTTTTGACATTCATGTCTACAAGCTGCAAGCTGCTTGTGCAAAGACCTGCTTAACTTTGTCTGCAGTCTTTTTCTCCTGGACACAGAGGAATGTGTAGTGAGTGCATAGGAAAAATCAGGAAGTGCTGGAAAAAGAATACCTTGAAAGCATCTCTCATTCAGTGATAAAGAGGAAACTGAGTGAAGACCAGCTTTCTTTCGCCTTGATGGTGATAAGCCTGAGTTATACTGAACACTGTCTCCCAGAGTTTCCCAGCAGAACTGAGCTCCAGTTCCCACTGGGCTGACTCTCTTGAAAACACATACTTTACTCCGTGCCTGTTTTGTCAGCTCCATTCCCACCACATAATGATTCAATTTCTAGAGTAAACTATTTGCACTAGAGTTCTTGCCTAAGACCAGTTTCCAAAGGCATCAAGCCAAGGTGTGTTGTTATTCCTATTGAATGCTCTTCCAGGTGTGATCTGCAGACAGTACTTATTTATGAGGTTGCTATAGTCAGGTTTCCAAGAGAAACAGTTTAATACAGGACACATTATTTGTAAGATTATTTTATAATATTCACCCAAAGAGTCAAATGTAAAAAAATACAGGAGACCTGTCCACACACTAGAGACCTAAAGAATCCATCTGAGGGCCTGGATCCCATGACAATGTCCTGTATGAGTCCAGCTGAGGGCCTAGAGCTCATGGCAATGCCCTCCACAAATCCAGCTGGAGGCCTAGAGCCCACAACAATGTTCCATGCAGGCCTGTTTCCTGGATCTGCACTAGGAAGGACCAAAGATCTGTGGTGGAAGCTAGAAAGTCTGTGCCAACGTGATGAAGGATCTATGCTAGCAGGCTGAGGGACCTGCACTGCAGCCAGGAAGCTATGCTCAAAGTAAGAACCAGAGCTTCCCTGAAGAGTACCACAGCCATCCTCAGCAACAGTAAGATCCAGAGCTCCTCCAATGATGAGAACAGCCAAGTTCATATCAGGAGAGCCAATGTGAGAATCTTCTCCAAGGAGGCTCAACAGCACCACCTCTTCCTCTCCAGTTCTCTTTTCATGCTCTTGGCAGTAATCCCTGGGTGGGCCCCCCACACCCAGTGCCATGCTGATTCAGTTCAGCTGGGTGTCAAAAGTTGACCACCAGTTAATCCACCACAGAAGTTTTTGTTATAGTCTGTGATAAAATTAGCAATTGGGATCAAAATTTGGAAATCTAGCCTGGTGCAATGGTGTATATCTGTAGTTCCAGCACTGGGAAGCTGAGGCAGAAGGATTCCAAATTTGAACCCAGCCTGGGAAAGTTACTGACTTGTCATGACTATGTCTCAAAATGAAAAATAAAAACTGACTGGGGATATAGCTCAGTGCAAAGGCCCTGAGTTCAATCCCCAGCACCACCAAAAACTAAATTAAAAAAATAAAAAATAAAAAGGTTTGAAAACTTTGATCGCAAATTTGCTACTTTCCTAATATTTAAGTGTGAGATTTACAAAAAAATGCAGACCCTCACCTCTTTATATGATACTGCTAAGAAAAATGGCTCCGAGTACAAGTAGAAAAACTGGTTGGATACAAGAGAAAACTTACTAAAAATTGCCCAGATTGCTCCAAAATGGAAGAGACCAACACTCTGTTGTGAGGGGAGGGTAGGCTATATGGCCGGCTATGAGGACCTCTACTGACAATCCTTGTGTTGGTGAGAGACACCCCCACTTTCACAGAGCTACTACTCTGCTCCGATGTAACAATAACGGAAATTCTGTCATTTTTTCACCTCTGTCTCCTCAGCATGAGAAGGGGGTTTGAGACTAATACACTGATTGTACTGTTTAACAACTGTTTGACTCTGTAAATAATGGAGAATCTTTAGTTTCAGTTGATCATGTTCTAGTAGTTTTGATATGCTATCAGTTCCAGACTGACAGCCCTTCAGATTTATAAAACCGAGAGACTGTTAGCAATAGGTTACAGGTAATGGGCCTAATTTTTTTTAACACTAACCTTTCTCAACAAGCATGAAAGAGGTATGTGAAAAGTGTTATGAAATTTCCTGCATGAGTCACTAGATCTTAAGAACAAGTAAGTTCGTTCACTAAGTGCAAGAAAGCATTACATGGAAACCATAGCAAAGCAAACATTTGCCTTTCGGCTCTGGGAGAGGAGCTGCACCATCCTTGACTGCAGCTTTGGGTGTTAGGGGACTTTGCCTCCTTCCATCTCGACAAAGCTCTCCTTGGAACTCCAGAGAGCTGGTGACCAGACTACAGTGGGAGGATTGGAATGGGATTTGCCATGGGGTGAACTCAGGCAGGAGCTGCAAGTCCCCCCTCACTGCAGCCATGAGAGTGTACTGACAACACCAGCAAACTCGGTGCTGAGAACAGGGAGACCAGGAACATTAAAATGCTAATAGACTTTGCATTTAAAAACAATTTTTAGAATATCACTGCCAGGGGTTTGGTTAAATCTAGGCTAATACCTGGATTCAAGGGGAAATTTTGGAGGACAGTTTGGTATTGGGTTGAGAGGGGATGGCCCTGAAACTCTGCCTTTTACTAGTGGTGTGACCTCAGGCCAGGTACTAAGTGTTTAAGGCTCAGAGTCTTCTTCTGAAAGACAAGGATAATAAAAGCACTGGGGTAGGATAGAAGAAACAAAAATAAACAGGAAGGAGACGAGGAAACTACAGTTCTCAAGCTCAGAGTTACCAAGGTTATCCAGATCTTTACTGCACCTTTATTCCTTAGGTTCGTGCTTTGCTCAGTAGCTTTGTTTGTTCTTTTTCTCCAGGCCTAACACGCTCAAATCCTTCAGAGAGAAGTTTGTGATGTGACCTAACTGATAAAGTGAAGGGCAGAAATCTGACGTTAAGATGACGCTATTCAACAGATTCAAAGGATGTTCTTAGAGAAAACTCTTAGATCATCTATCTTAAAAGATGCCTCTAAGGCCACATACAGAACCTCAGCCCCACACCATAGCCTCTCTCTTGGGCACCCTGCTCTCTGAATACGTACATCTTCTACTTCACTAACAAATATGCCTTTGCTGCTCACAGACATGTCCTGAAGGGAACTTGATGTGATGAGAGGCCATGAGCCTGCTCTTTGGTGATGGTGTGTGTGTGTGTGTGTGTGCATGTGTGTACTTGTGTTGGGGGAGTTGACATTCTCATCACAATTTAGGGGGATCCTGGTGACTGTACTTTAGAGAACTGATGTGAGGATTCAATAAGATGCTATATGTCATGTTAACACAGGCTGTTTTGCTCATAATATCATGTGATAAACATCATGAAAAGCCTTTCCAAGTTTCCCCTGTAGCAGGAAGTGTGCAGTGCAGGATGCTTTTAGTCTTGGTTGGAATAGAGCCAGCGCCCGGGTACACTACTCTGCTCCTTTTCGTTCTTCTCTCCAACCATTTACCTTTGACCCCCTCTCCCCTCCTGTTTGTGTCCTATATGAGAGTTCAGGATTCGGCCTTGACTTTAAGGTAAGGGAATGCAAGAAGAATAAATTATTTCTTTTCCTAAATTCTACTGAACCAATCTTTAGAATGGAGTATTTTTTTGGGTTGTAATTACAGAAAACTAGAAAAAAGATTCAGTAAGGATATTTGTGGATCGTTATGGGTGTGTGCTGGCCAGGGGTGCTGGGATTGGTGGCAGCGATGGAGAGTGAAAACTGAGACTTCTGTGTGCAACCTTGACGGCTATTACACTTCGATTTGAGAGATGGCCCAGAATCTTTTGAGCTCCCCCAGGTGAAATGCATTATACAAATTTCTTCACCGTGGCTCTTTTGTGATACCTGAACAATAAATGCATGAAAAGCTCTTGAATAAACATTTGGTTGAAGTAGGGTTGAGTACAGGCTTTTCCATTTGCTTCTAGCCAGTTTGCCAGTTCTGTCTTTATCAGTTTTATTTTGTTTTTGAAAGCATAATAACACCTACCAAGGATGTAGCTATCCGTTTGTGCAGAGTATTTAATGTCAGGTCATGCAGTCTGAATCCATCCTGAAGTCGGCTTGTCAAACCATTAGCTCTGTCCTGATGGCATCTGCTTGTAAACGAAAGGATCTTTCTCTAATTCTGACAGAAGTCCAGGGTGGGGTGGGATACCCTTCCCATTTAATGAGTTGATCCCCCACACCCCCTCAGGTGAGACTGGAGCTCATGCAGGATACTGGAATGCATGGCCTGGACGCAGGCATGTCCTGTACAGAGTTGCAAATTCACACACTGCCTCTGCTTTTCCTGATCCCTGAAGTGAGGGTCTTTTTTGTCCCGGATACTGGAATCACTGGGATTCAAAACTTTTCCTAACTGTCTTTGGAAGCTAATGAATCAACATAAGAACTGAACAAAATTAGAAAGTAATTTAAAAGTAATGTTTAATGAGCACACATTTACAAAAGTTCATCTTTCCTTACCATGGGGAAAGCACACAAAAACAAATGGTCCATGAACTTCACAAAATTTTCATGGAATACAGGAAACATTCCTGCAATAAAGAGGTTCAGTCTAACTTTTAAAAGGTAGACTAGTTGAGATGCGCTACAAGGAATACAGTGCACCTGAAGCACCTGTTTCCATCGGTTCTAACTCTACCTTAGGTGAACTGGAGAAGTCAGTGGTATCAAGTTGTTTGATGGCTTCAAGTGGAGAGAGGGTATAGCAAGGAGTGGAAGAAAGAAAGTGGCTGCCTCTGGTAAGCTTGCTGCCCTTGCAGCTGGGGACAAAGTTCAGTCAGTGCAGCCCTTTTGCCAAAACCTAAGGGCTGCTCTTTAACTTTAGGCTTGATGGATGGCTTTTATTAAGTACTTGAGCATTTCCCCCAGACTATAGAGTAGCGTTTATTTTTTACTATGGATAAATGTTTTCCCCAGGTGCAGTATCTTCTCTTTTTAGTGATGGACTACGACTGTTACTGTAATGGGAGTGCTTGAAACTCCAACTTTCCTAGACCAGTATGGATATTCAATCTTCCAGCCGCTGTGCCGTGCGTAACACGGGTGAGTAGTGACATTTTTGTCTTTTCACTGATGCCCCAGGGGGAACCCCATATATCACAGCTGCTCAAAGTCTCCCAGCTCTTTGTGTCCTTGCTTGGGTTGATCAAGAATCAATTAAAGGCTCATAGGCTCTGTGTATCTTTGCAACTATTTGTAAGAAAACACAAAGTGAAATAAAACATCAAATGCCCTCAGGCATTGCTAATGGTATGGATAAGATCATTTTACAATTAAATTTGCAGTACCCAGAAAACACTAAAGAAATTCTCTAACTTTGTAATTACAATTCTTGGCAAGCATTCTGAGGTGATAACTGCTACTATGGAAATATATTATAAGGTATAAGAAGATATTCTCTGAATTTTTTTGTTTTAGTGTAAAATAGATATAGCCTATATGCTCTATTAGGGCAGTGGTTTAAAAAAACTGTATTTGCTGTAAAATTAGGTATCCATTAAATAAATGTCTATGCCATGTAGGACAATGAAGCATTTAATAAGTGAAGAAGGAAATAAAATTGAATATAGAGTATTGATAGATTGTGGGTGATGCTTTAACATATTTTAATAATTGTACAATGTCATGTATAATATGTAATAATAAAAGTTAAAAAGAGAGAGAGAAAAATAAACGGTCTTTGTAGATTAAGCAGAAAAGGGTGAAACCCAGCGTTGCTTGGTGATCTCAGTGATATGTGGGAAGATTATGCGTAAGTATCCTTGCCCAGCCTCCGTGAGCTGGAAGGCTAATCCTGTTGAAGGTCACCTTGGAAAGGGCTCTATCAGCATGGAGAAACAGTGAGAACCACCCTACATTCCAGCAAGGATTTGACAAGGATCCAAGTCTCATAACAACTGCTGCTTACACCTCTCTGCCCTGTAACTGTCCATAATTTTCTCTCATCTATGCATTGGTTAAAATTACATTTTCAGAAAATTCATATACTTTTACTGCTGAAAATCCTAACAGACTAAGATGAATGATAGAAGTTATATCATTGTACTAGAAATTGATTTGATAGATGACTAGTATTGAATACTATTTAGAAAATATAATTTATAAAGCATTGCACAGTAGCTAGATAATACCCAAACTAGTATAGTAAAGTTTGACAATATTTATTTAGCTTCCTAGCTAAAGTTCTGCTTTTTTTTTTGTACCGGGAGTCAAACTCAGGACCTTGCACTTGCCAGGCAGGCACTGTGCCACTGAGCTCAATCCCCAGCCCTAAAGTTCTGCTTTATTTGAACTTTTTGTGCAAGGGCTGCTATCAATCCTCCCTTGTTTATTGCACATCAAGAAAAACTCAAATGGATATATTTCCCAGTGTTTCTCAATCTCTCCTACACCTGTTCCTTAGAGGGAAGGATTGTATAACTATGTAGATTTGCATATACCCAAGTCATGGTCACTTCCTATCAGTTGTGGGATTTTTGTTGTGCCATAACATAGTTCCTCAAAGCAGATACTCATACTGGTAAAACCCAAACCAAGCAATGCATTTAACTATGGAATTCACTGCTGCAGGGCTGCAGAGCACTTGCCTCATATGAGCAAAGGTCTGGGTTTGATCACCAGCACCGAGTGTAAAAATCATGGTGGCACTTTCTCTCTTGCCTGTGTTAGTGGCCACCATCAGGCTGTTTTCTGTGTATTTAACTCAGCCCTTGAATCAGAGCAGGAAGTTGCAGGTACTTTTCCTGGATTTTGCAAGACATTAGGTCATGGTGGCTGCCCACAGCAAAGAACCTCCTTCGTGTGAAACCACAAAGCTAATCTCCATCCTACATGCTTCTAGCTTGCCTGCACCGAGGCAGCTCCATGGTCTCCAGGGAAAATAGCAGCAAGGCCCTGAGCGGACTCACCCCTAACCTGAGATACAACAGATATATCTCTTCTGATGTTACTTTCTCAAAATTGGGCAAAAGTTTCTTCTGTGGAGAGAAATCTCAGGTGGTGGTGGGGAAATAAAGCTTTCTTAATTGTGTCCATTTCTTCCTTCTCACCATTTAATACTAGATTTCAGAAGCCCAGGTACGTTCAACTTTGCTTGAAACATCTGATTTTCCCAACAGTAGTGATTTCGAGGATGTTGAGTTCCTTTCCCAGCCCTGGCGGATTCGAGTGAGGGTCTTGTCTATGCATGGTATGATGAGGATAAACTTGACCACCAGCACCGTGCAGGGAATGATGAGTGCTAAGATGTAGGCTGAAGGAAGATACCACCTTAGAGCTGTAGAGCTGAGGAACCTCTTCCCACCGTACACCAGGGTGTGGGCTGTGCACAAGGCCAGGGTCAAATAGCCGAGTTTGGACTATCAGCAAACAAAAGAAGAAACGAAACAAAAAAGCATATGAACGCTGTTTTCTTTTAAAGCAAACACTATGAACCAATGAAGTTTATTTGTCAATAACCATAAACATTTGAAATCTATAATATTAAGGACGCTCTGATGAGTGCAGAATAAAGCATTAGCAAACTGTTTTTAGGATGGTAAGTATTTCATTAAAAGAAAGACTTTTGCTTAAAAATGACATGGTAGCTTTACCTTAACCTGGCTGCATGGAAAAGTTTTCTAGGCATAAACTCTTCTGAATTAGAATAAATAATGTACATTTCCTTGGTCACCAAAGCTAAACCCTTATTTATCACCATTTCTGGAGGGTAGAGATGACGACATCAAGCTCTCCATTATATGTTACTGACTGAAAACAGATGCTACCTATTGCATAAAGAGCAATCACTACATTTTTTACTTTGTAGGGGTTTTTTGTGGGGGGCACTTAGATTCATTATTTTTGTCTTAACGTCTTGAGTGAAAATGTTATCATGAGCAAATTTTGCTTGCACTTGGTCCCTGGCAGGAACCACAAGCTTTGGCATTCAAATCTAATTTCAGTGACTAATGGTTTATTTTATGACACTGGTTTCCGGTGGATCCACGTCAGAATCATCCAGAGGGCTTGTTAAAACAAATTGCTAGGCTCCACCTCCACAGCCTCTGATTCAGCAGCTCTGGGTGTGGCCTGGGGCTTTGTGTATCTAACGAGTTCCCAAGGCACCCAGAAGCTGATACTACCGGTGCCATTCTTTGAGAATCACTGGTCTACAGGGATAGACACTTACCAGGGATAGTTATTAACTGGTTTTAATGAAGTGTCTGTGAAGTGATTATATCTATCGAATCTTGCTTTGAAGGTTTTAAAACTTTTTTCCCCCCAAAATCTACCTTTCTTTATTAATATGTTCATATAGTAACTTTTAATTTTCAGAAGGTGAAATTTTGTTTTTGGATTTCTTTTCAGCTTGTACCTTGTACATCTCCAAACACAGAGTTCAATAGTTCTTTGCAGTTTTAGTCCTAGCTGAGGCTCCAGGAGCGGCCAGAAATCATGGCAAGGTATCCCCACAAGGAAATGCAAACACAATCCCTGTTTGTAACCAGAGTTCAGAGTTTTCAGATGTGCGTGCTTAATGCGATCGCTAGACACGATGGAGCAACATGAAAAATTAGGCCTGGCATGAGAGACAAATGAGACTATATGCAAAGCCATACTCACATTGCAATATTAAATTTACATCCTGAAATCTTTACCTGCACAAATCGGAACTCTCTCCAGTTGACCATGTTGCTGACAGACGGCAAGGAAGTGATTCCCAAGAGTACAAACAGAAAAAACCCAAGGATCCCCAAAGATACATACGAATCACCAAGCAAGGCTGAAGAGGTACTGAAGGGGTCATCCTTCTTGTTTATCACCTAAGAAAAATTATCAGAAATTTTAAAAATACATCTTATTTTACAAGTTGCTCAAATTGCCTACAATTTAAGGGAAGTAAAACACAACTTTCAATGTGTTATTTGCCCAAAGCAAATTGAATGGCCTTTCTTATTGATCATTTAAAAATACTCTTAGGAATATTTTTGTAAAAAAAATCTGCCCTGCTGGTATTTTATTGTAATTCTTGACTCTAGAAGTTATACAGGGAATTTTAATTTACTTTATAAATCCTAAAACAAAGTAAACATGTGCATTCTTTACCAAATGACTTTTTGTCCCCCAAACAAAGCTTTATGCTCTCAAATAATACATCGGAATTCTACAATGCTACAATACAATACATCATATCTGCTTTACATGCTGATTCTTCACAGAGTTTGATTAGTTTCACCTTGATTATGTCAAAATGTAACAGGGAGTCTCTCATATCACAGGTTGAGAGGAATCAGGCCATTGTAGTAGATTTTTTCCTGAGAAATATTCATGTACTTGTTAGAAAAAAAATGTAGAGAAACTCACAGAGGTATCACCAATGGTGATTACTGACTCATCAACATGTTATTGCAGTGTCTAAGACTGCACTAGAATTGATCAAAATAGGGTATTTCTAAACTAGAACTGACTTAGAGTACTACATTGATTCTGAGTCTCCTTTTTTTTCCTTTTTCTTTTTGAGACAGGATTTCACTATGCAGTTTACTCACTTTGTAGCCCAGGCTGGCCTCAACCTTATAGTGATCCTCCTGCCTCAGCCTCCCAAGTGCTAGGATTACAGGCATGTGCCATCAAACCCAGCTGATTCTGAGACTTTTAACTATATATAACATACATTTGATATTTGCTCAGAATTGTTTAGTTTTCTTGTTGTAGAGGACAATTTTCTACAAGTCAAAAGCATTAGGGGCATTATAAGCACTCTTCTGTGAATTTGCACTGCTGCAGTGTATTTGAGCAGACTCCTTACAAGGCAGCTGGAGTTGACTTTTAAAGTAAAGAGCATGCATAAAACTTTGTCAGTGTCACAGTGAGTCCTGGGAGTACAGATCTGGATCCAAGTGAACGTAGGAATATAACTTGTACTCTCAATAGTTATATGAGATCTCAACTGGATTCGTTAAAAATCCCAGACATGATATTCTAATTCTACTTACTTTGGAAAATAAACATGCTTACAAGAGTCAGTTTCTATAACTGTGAAACAGAACACGATATAGCAACATCCTCTTTGATTTGGGAGTAGGACAATACAAATGGAAAGACATGTACCTGGGTAACAGTTACGTTTCTCAGCCTCCACCGTACATAATACCGAATAGGAATCACAAGTGTGTAGATGGCGTGCAGGAAGGCAAACCCCAGAGCTACCAAGCCAAGCTGCTTCCTGCAGAGCATCCAGTGGTCGAGCCAGGCTGGGAATCGCTGGTATTTTGTACCTCGGTAAAGCTGCAGGATGGCAGCGATCACCCCAGGGAGGTAAACCAAGGCCAGCAGTATAAGTGCTGTTATTGGAAAGACACGGTTGGGAATGGAAATGGCCAGGCGAAATATGTGATTTTCCTTTTTGTGAACATAAGGGTAGATTATGTCTCTGATAACACAGTAGAAGAAGAAGAAGACACACAGTGCAGCAGACAAACAGAAGGGGAACCTCCACATCGGGAACAGTTGCAGGGGGTAGTTTTCAATTTCCTTGGCTGCTATGAGAGATCCTTGATCCAATGGAGTGAGTCCCAGAGCGCGAACAATATCCATCACTCTGTGTTTGGCGTTGGTGTCATTTCCACAGACAAACACCTGGGTTAAAATAATTAATTCTGTATTTATACTTGTTCTTTAATAATTGTTTCGAAAGTACATACATTATTATTTTGAGAGTATATGCAGAATGACATGGAGTAGTGAATTGTTTTTCAACAAACATGTAGAAGTAACATATTTAAGAAGATAGTATTTTAGTCACGCACATGTATGTTGGATACCTCAGTGCCCCAGTGTTAAACTGAGAGTGGTGACTTAAGACTCAGTTCCCCAGAGTCTGAGTAGTTTGTCTTCCTTCTGCATGTGTGGGTGCCATAGCACTCATGATCGCTTCCAGTTTCCGGGCATATGTGAAACCAGTTTTGTACAAGGTAACAGAAGTGCAAAAGGATACCCAACAAGCTGCACTGGTTTGTAGTGTGGACAAGAGGCCTCCAGAGACTGACATCACTGGGATCCATCAAACTAAACGCTGAAGGTGTAGTCACTTGGAAATGAATCATAACAACTGACTACCCTTCGTGGTCAAAGCCAAGAAAACTGTTCCTGGCACGTAGTAGAAAAATGAAATATTCATTAGGCATTTTATTTTGAAATTTTATTTTGAGATCCGTGGGGTAAGTGCATATTAAAAGATTCACCTTTTAAATAGTGAGTGGAAATTTATTTCATCTTACCTGTCGACTTGCATCCAGCGCTCCGGACTGGAGCGCCCAGGCTGAGATGGTATTAAATGCTTTCACCACGTGGGCTCCCGGCACCAACTGAGCAAGGTACTCTGCGTTCGATTCTGGATACTGATTGATTTTGAGGTTGTTGCTGACATCTACCAATATTTTCCCATGGAGAACCTCAATTAGATCTATGAAAAAATTATAGTGGTCCCTGTGGATTGCTACGATTATGACGTCAGACTTCTGGGCTGCTTCCGAGTAGCTCAAGACCTCCGCACCGCTGGGCAGCAGGCTGGACATCTGGGGGTTTCGACTTCCAAAAACAACAGCATAACCACACTGGAGCATCTTTAATCCCAGAGATCTCCCAAAATCCCCTGTTCCAAAAATACACACAGTCTCTTTCTTTTGGGAAGAATTTACGGTAAGAGGAAGTGCATTTGTACAAGAGTTTTCCATTCCTGAAAATAAACCACAAAAACAAAAAATATGAATGGCTGGGGCATGGAAAATTAATTAGAATTACATTCAGGAACTAGTGTAATTAACAGACGTTCTAGTCTTGTAATTGTCTCAAGGATATTCTCCCCCAAATTAGGCAAGAACAGAAATTGTCATGTATATTTTATTTAACAAAATCACCAGTGTAAACTTTTTTTCTGTGATGCAGTAAAACACTTTCTGGTTCATATTTTAAACTATGGACTTCTACTGCAATGATAGTACAGTTAGTGAACACTTATGGTTCCAAATATGGTATTTATATTTCCAGATTTTCCTTATCGAATTTATAGCATGAATCTTTGTATCCTTAGAATAATCTTCATTTGATCCATATGCACATTCTGCTAAAAAAAAACTGCTAGATTCTCTTCACTAATGTTTTATTTAGGACCACTAAATATAAGTGAATTGGCCTATAATTTATGTGTTAGTGAGTTGTTGGCCAGATTTTGCTCTGAAAACTTTTGGAATCATAACTATGATTATTGTAAATATATAAAAATTGTCTGAACTAAGGTTTGGTGATTCTTAGAAAGCTCTTACCCTTCCCATTTACTTCTATATGAAATGGCTGTAGAGCATACGAATTCATCAAGATGCAGGTATAAAAAACAGCTCAGGTGTGAACTCTTGTTATTTGTACTTTGTTCATAATTTATTTTATTTTCTTTTTAAAATGCAACTTGGAAGTCCAGTGTACCATATTTGGGATGTAATTCCAATCCTTAAATTTTATTTTCACTCTCAAAACTTCAGAGAAATTGCTGAGCAAATGGAAGATGCCCTAACTGTAAGGGGACATTAATGCATTGCGGCTCGTTCATTAGTGATTCATCAGGCAGTTGCTTACTCCTTATGAATGTCATAGAAACTGCGTTTGACCACATCTTAAGCTCCGTTTGAAACCCTCATGGTTCTTTTCCTAGTCTCTGAGCTCTGTTCAGCTTCCACCGCTTTACAGAAACTCAGTTTGGGTCCTACAGATTATGTTTCTTGATTTTTATGTTGGGCTTCTCACGGACCTGAGCCTGCCCAGCTCTCGGCAGCACAGTTCAACAAGGGCAGGTTCTATAGATAAACTCTTCCTCTTCCTTCTGTCACACAATTTTGTTTTCTGTTTTCTTTTTTGAGACAATCTTGTTAGTATTTTAGGCTGGCCTTGAGCTCACTATGTAGCCCAGGCTGGCCTTGAGCTAGCAGCAATCCTCCTGCCTCAGCCTCCTGAGTGTTGGGATCACAGCTGTGCACCACCATGCTGGGCTTGTGTGGCACACATGCTGAGATGTTTCATAAGGGTCCTTGTATCAACCCCAGGGAACAGAGCACTGATCATCTGCAGCCGTGGCCAACTTAACTCATGTTTGTACTTACTGTCTTTCCCATGTTCTCCGGGCCTCTGACCCTCACTCCTAGTTCTTCAGAATCATCTTCTTAATAATTATCTGTACACAGCCCTTGCTTGCAAGGTAGTTCAAAAGAATACAATATTTTTCTGATTGTTTTAAAAATGAAAATTACTTGGCCGGGTGTGGTGGCCTATGCCTGTAATCCCAGCTCTTGGGAAGCTGAGGCAGGAGGATTGCCATGAGTTTGAGGCCAGTCTGGGTTACACAGTGAGTTGTTCAAGGCCAGCCTGAATTACATAGAGAGACTCTGTTTCAACAAACCAAGAAAAAAAAAAACCAAAACCAAAACCAAAACCAAACCAACAAACAAAATTACCATCACATGGAAAGTTGCCATAATTGGAATGACAAAATGAATGACAAGTAAAAAACAAAAATCCTGGTAATTCTTTGGAAGAATTTACGTTTGAACTCTTGGGAAAATACCCTAGTAATAGGAGATCGCAAAAGTGGATGTACACGTGCTTTGTACTACAAGGAACGTCAAGCGAAGGAGGCATTTTACAGTAAGCATTATGTAGAGAATGCTGTTACATCAACGACAGACAGAGCTGTAGTTCAAGACAGGTATGTGTTATGATGAGTTCATGGAGGTAAGGGCTCTTGTTCAGAGACTTAAAGTCCTAGACAGAGGAGATTGAGAAAATAATAAGGAAGGTGGTAAACAGGAAAAGTAAAGAAGAATTAAAACAGAACATAACCAGTGTTCTATTTCTTTTGCTTCAGCCGCAGGAACCCTCCCCTCGCTGTGTGACGGGACGCGCACAGGAGCTTCTCTGGGTCCGCAGGTTGAGCCCAGACCTCCTGCGAGGACACCAGGGTGGACGCGGGGCTCCCACCTGGCTGTGACTCTCGGCCGTGGGGCAAAGCTAGCGAGGGCGAGCTGGAGGCCAAGGAGGGGCGCTGCTCCCAAGGAGCTGTGCAGGCGGGGACATCCCGGGGGTCCCCTCCACGCGCCCCTGGCAGCCGTGAGGTCCCTCTTCCTCACCTCCCCGAGGTCAGAGTGGCCTAGGCCACGTCCAACTGTTTTTGGAGTCCAGCATTTGAAACACAGACACATTCAAATAGGATGACGAACATTACACATTTTAAATGCTTACACCTAACACAATGCGGACAAAATCTGCCCATAGTTTTTCAGAAAAGTAATTTTGATCAGCAGGAACTTGAAAAAACAGTCCTGGTGGCTCCGTGAACCCCTTCCTGGTTCCCCCCAGTGGCCACAGGGACATGGGTGTGGTGCCGTATCCCAGCCAGAACACTGACACACGGACACAGGCACGCACATTTGCACGGTGTCTCACTCCCGTGTGCACACACACGCCCAAGGCTGCGCTCAGGACGCAGACCTTCATCCCCGGGAGACTCCTTCATCTGTTCTACCATTTCGTCACTTTGAGAACGTTACATAAGTCTTGAGACTGGCATTTCTTTATCCGAGACGTTGTGTGTATCGCGTTTTCATTTTATTTTTGAGTAAGATTCTATGGTATGTATACGTACCATAGTTTGTTGATTGAACCCAAGACCACTGAGTACATCCGTAGCGCCGTTTAACTCCCTGTAATATGGGGCGTTTTGATAGTTTTCAGTTTTGAGTATTGCAAATAAAGTTGCTATGAACAGTCCTATGTAGGTTTTT